GCATTTTGTTTCCGTTAGTATCTAATACATCACCTTATAATTCTGTATATCCAACCACCAGGAACCGATGATGAATATCAACCTCAATATTTTTTGTCAGGATCATGACTAAAAGTGAGATTTTGCCGACTTACTTTTATTCCAGTGGTATGAACTCGTAATAATAAAACTGAGAACCATCCAGCTGACTGGAGGGAAAGATAAAAATCCATCACAGGAAAAACACTTCAAATGCCTCAAAACTATTGCTGTACTGCTGTGTTGGATGAGTGCGGTGAGTCTTTGATGAAAAGCAGAGTGAGTGACTCTTACTATGGAAGACTGTTCTGCAAAGATCAAACCCCTAACAGCGCAGTGGTTATCTCATGGGGCAGGAAGGAAAACATCACTTTCTAATTTGTCTTCATAACCAAGGCACTATGTTTTTCATGTATTTTTTCACTGAATTTAAAAATAATCTACTCCTTCTGCTTGCGGTGCTCATCAGTGAATAAATCTATGTAAGTCAGGTTATCGGAGATCACGTATGAGCTGCAGAGTCAAATTACCAAAAATAAATGTTCCTACATACACACCAAGAGAAGAGGAACAAAAGGAGGGAACCAACAATATCAAACTAACCTAGGAAACTTCTGCCATCCCTTTTTGTTTTGCTGATTAAAAAAAAGTGAAAAACATTATCCATAAAAAGTTTAGGAATATGTGATTTAGTTGTATGATTTCATTTTCAAATTACTATAGTCAGAAGTGACACAAATATCCTGAATTGTTGATTTTTTCATCAACTAGTATGTCTTTTTTCTATCTCCTGAAAAGTGATACCTCACATTTATTGGCATTAAACTACAGCTGCCATTTGTCTGATTATTTCTCTAGTCCATCAATGTTCTCCTGTAGTCTTATTACAAGCCTTCTCACAGTTTCCCAATGCACTCAATTTAGTGTCATCAGCAAAGTTGCACATAATCTCTCCTATATCCACATCCAAATCAATGATGTATATTGCAAAGAGCAATGATCCCAGTATAGACCCACAGGACACACCATTAGTTCCATCTTGCCAGTCTGAGAAACACTCATTGATTCCAATTCTCTGCACTTTGTTCCTTAGTCAATGTTCTATCCACTCTAATACATTACCTTTAATATCAAAATTTGAAAGCCATGGTATTAATCTCTTATCAGCCTTCTCAGTCCTTACATCCATCACCCACTGCATTCCCTCATCTAATGTTCTCAGTAATCTCATCAAAAAATTCATTTAGCTTAGTCAAACACAACCTGCCCTTAATGATTTTGTGCTGACTGTCCCTGATCAATTTATTCTTCTCCAGATGCTTATCCATTTTTTTCCCTTTCTAATTGATCTGGCAATTTCTCACCACAGATGACAGCACCACTTGTTATTTGCCTATTAAAATAGAAAAGAAAGCAATGGGTCAACTTAGCGTTGTGTTAAGTCAACCTCGTGTGAAACCGAACCTAACAGGTTTCATCCCTTAGACTGAACCAGTTGATTCAGCCGAGGATGGCAATAGGGTGTTAGAATTAACCCTCAGTTCTCCTGGGTAATGAAAGGAGAAAGGAATAAAAAAAAAGAGGATTCCCTTTCCTGATTGAAAAGCATTGGTGTGTTGATTTTGGATGAGGTTTGGATTGAGCTCTGCTTTGAAGTTACTGCATACAAAACAGCTACCGGTGGAGGAGGGAAAGAGTCAGGGCAAACAATGCTTGTATAATCAGACCCCAGGATGGGTCTGTGTCCTTAGAAAATGAGGGAGAAAATTATTAGTTTCTGTGCTCTCTCAGCTTGTGCACTGGATAGTAACTGGCACTCCTTACTGACTATTGACTTTCATTATCTTTCTTGAAAGATGTTGTCCAACTGTCCAATACCTCATAGCTGCTGTTCCAAAGAATATATAAGATAGTTATTATTATATAGGATAGACCACTCTATCTGTATATGTATCTGTACACTCTATCTGTACTGTTGCAAATTCCAACTGCAAGATGTGAAAAAAATATCCTTACAGATATATATTTCAGCTAAAATAAGCCAAAAGGGGTTATTGTAACCAGATGGTGTCACTCTTTCCACACCATAATTTCTGGTGCACAAAATTCTTGTTAGAGCTAATGATGGTTTGTGTTACTTGCCCCGTCACCTGCCATTTGCCTATAAAAATAACAAAAAAGACAGAACAACTTCTAAAGTGGAGTCCTGTAGCTCAGTGGTTAGAGCACTCGCTTTGCAAGCGAGAGACCTGAGTTCAATTCCAGGCAGGGTGAAACCTTGGGCAAGTTTCCTTACTCCACACAGAGCCTAATAATAATCCCTCCAAAACCAAAAACAATAATAAATTGGTCATTTTCAATCTACGACTGTTTGTGGGACATTGCTGTGCGCAATTGGCTGCCGTGTTCGCCCACAAATATACAGTTAATTCACTTTACAGTGTGTTCTGTGAAGCGCTTTGGGACGTCCTCCCGACATGAAAAGCGCTATATCAAATGCAAGGATTATTATTATTATTATTATAAAGGCATTCCAAGCATTGAATACTTCAAAAGAAGTGGAGCTGCTATTTGTGGGGACCAATGACATATACACTGTTATTCATAACAAAGGGAAAACAGTAGCTTGTCAACCAGTAATAGTCTTTATTGTTCACTTTTGCCTATGATTTGATATTGTACATCTGACCTTAACAAGTTAATACATTTATTTTACTGAGCTGCTCTGCATTCACATTTACACATGTAAGCAAGCAATAGATGCTTATCCCAAAAAAGCTTTAAATGTAGTTGTCTCAGTTGCAGGATCTTTGTTGGTAGATGGTTTTGGCCACAACATACAGTCCTGATCAACAGCATTTCAGCTCCATTAGGGTGGAGAAGTAACTGGCTAAACCAGATTTGCTACAATAGTGCTTTCAGTTGGCTGATTGGAATGATTACAGTAGTACAGATAAGATACCTGTGACTCAGCCTCTGCTGTCCTCCAGCTGAATGCACTTTGATACCTAGAGATAAACACATACAGAGAGGCAAGCTTGATAATGATTAATTCAGTCTTCTTAAATGCACTAACAGTATTGGATGTTCTCATTATATAGTACTTGAAGCGTATTTAAGAGAAAATATGATGCATACATGAGAAAGAAGAGAATAGAGGAGTATAGGAAAGTGGAACAGGAGGGATGGGAGATTGTGTGGAGTATAAACAGCAGCACGGACTAGTTGTGCCAAATGGCATGATACTATGCTGTAACAATTTACATAATTCTACGTAATAAAACTTGTGTTTTTTTAAAATTGTGGCACATTCTTTTAAAATCAAGTTCAGGAAAATTCACTTCAGACCTAATAGAGAGAAACAAAAATTGCTTCTGAATAGCAAGTGTAAGCTAACATTTCATCAGACCCTGATTTTCAGAGACTAAGTGGCAGTGTGAGGGAGCATATATTCTTGCTTTGGATATAAGTGAAGAGCCTTCATACTAAAATCATCTCCTTTTGTTGGGAGTAAGACTCAGTTGTTCTACGCTGTGAATAAAAGGATCAGACAAATACTTACCGAATCGGAATTGGAATCTCTACATAAAATGCAAATGTTTCAAAAAAACCATTAAATGCATTTTTTTTCTTCCACCTCTTCATTGAGGTTCTTCTGGATCACATGCTCTCATCTAGAAACCAGTTAAAATGTTGGTATGAATAATGTTTTAAAGAATACGTAGTAAAAAAAAATCTACGGTTGATGATGTTTCTTAGAGCTTCACAAAACTGATTGTGGAATGTGCGCTCAAGCTTTGGGGACAGGTGAAATTGACTGAAAGCACAGTCAAAAACATGGGTCATTAAGGTGGGCTTTAAAGGTGGGCAGGGAAGGGGCGAGGCAGAGGGACTTCGGGATGGAGTTCCAGAGAGCAGAAGCAGAATGGCTGAAAGTTCGCCCACTGATTAGGCACGAGAGATGAAGCAGACAGGTCTCAGCTGTGTGGAGGGAGAGGTCAAAATGGCATAAGGTTGCAGAACTAGGGAGGGGCGAATCCATGGATGGATTTAAACTTGACAAATTTGACACTGAATACTGGACATTGGGAGCATCTGCAAACATTTGTGAGCACATGAGCTCCGCACAAGCAGAAATGTTAATCTTTTGCTAATCAACAAGATAGAACATGTTAATTTCATCCAAATATTTAACAGGCAAAACGGAGTGGAACAGCCTAAGGAGTGTCCAGCAAATCAGGAATTATTCTTTAATTACACATTGTTTGAAATGTCAGGAGTGTTTTATGCGTGGCAGCTGGCAATAGTACAGCAGCTTTGCGAACACTATAATCCTGAACAATTATGCAGTGAACGGTATAATCATTTCTGGAGAAAAAATACATTTTGAATATTCCATCCGCTATGTTTCTTTTTCTGGTAAATAAATCAAAAGAAAATGTATATTTTTGACAACACAATCTTGAGAAACGTCTCAGAAGGAATCCCACCCTGGATGTATTTTGTTTGCTTCTGTTTGCACGCAGTGCGGATAATGAATTGCAGATGTTAGCTTGATACATTATACATATATAATATATATAAGGGACACTCATTTAGAAATTTGTATTCATATTTTAGAAACTGCAATATGAGATTATGAGAGGGCGTCACAGAATTTAATTATCCAGCACCTTGTTTTTTCAACCCAGTTGTCATTAAACTATGTCTTTAACCCCTTTAAAATCCTGCATTTAACCATTTCAGTTCTGGATTCATTCTGCGGGATTTCCATTACAGTTTTTTCTGAAAAGTATGTCAAGTCATTGGGGGTCATACATTTGGCCCTGTGCGGGATCGTAGTTGGCTGTTACAAATATTCTAAACTAAATAGACTATTTAGAGGATGATCAATAATTAATCCCAGATATCAAATTCAAACTTGTTCAGTCCCAGAAATCAAATTCAAACTCATTCATGCAAATAAAGTTCAAGAGATTCTATCTGATGAAAATAAATTTATTATGAAACATTCTGCAAAATTCTGTTCCACTAATAGAATGACTGATTTTGTTAGTCTTTTCATGATTCTCAACAATTTTCTGCATTTTTTTCTGGCACCTAGAAAACCATAAAAATACTGCAAGTCATCGATACAGTACAGATGTAGGCAAAACTGCTAACAGTACATTTCATTTTGTAAATAAAAAGCTAGTCATGATGAATATATCCCAGTATCACATTATAATAATATCAAGCACTTTCTTTGACGAGGATTACTGTCCCAACAGAATAGCACCATGTAGAATATAGTGGCAGTCTACAACTTTGACTCATTTGTGCAACCAATATTTTACAGTACAACTGTAATAGTACAAAGCCTCCTTTGTAAAACTGAAAGAAAACAAGTATGATGTAGCAAAAATTAGCACCAACTAAAATAAACACTGAAAAAAGTACATCTCTCATACCTTGTAGCTCACAAGCTTTGCCACATACAGGAATCTAACCTTTTCACTACTGGCTCTCAACTGGAGTTAACTTAGATGTTTTTAGTGGTTACGTTCAGGCACAGATCGTGTTTTGATCTGTTTGTTGTCTGAAAAGACACTTCACCAGGACTACAACATGACAAGCGGCAACCTAATGATGCCACCTGCATCCTCTACAAAAGTATTATTTTTAAAAATTGGTTTTAATTAAGACAAAGGTAATTCATGTAAGTTAACAGGAATTCAGTCACACCAATATACAACAGTACAATAACTCCAAACATTAATGATATAGAACAGTAGGTTCCTCATTGTGTACCCACACAATCGTTAAAGCTGCATAAACGTTCAACTGCAGCAGTTTATTGGACTAACTGAACAGTGTCTGAAAAAGATACATAATTATTCACTTTTATTTCAGAGATAAAAGATGGTAAAATAGTAATTAAAAAATGTTACTGGGCTACCCTGGTAGCACAGTGAGTCTATCCAGAGACTAGCTGAGCCTTTCAGAAACAGGAAAGTCCCTGATTTGATCCCTGGTCCATGGTGAGTTAGCTATCTCCCACAGGGCAGTGGTAGAGGTGCCGATGTTGGCTTCAGCACCCTGGCTAAGGGGTGGGAGGGTGAGGAGAATGTGCCTTTGTTCCAGCTCCTGATCAATATCAGCAATCCCTGCTGGAGGTATGTGTATGTGTGGATGTTGGGTAAGGGATAGTTTGGATTCACCCACGATGCCCTTATTCTTAACTAGTCTGTAAACATACAATGGCAAGGCTTAGTCATGATTAATGCCCACATGGGAAAAGTACTGGAGGATCATTAACCCATGTGCAGATTCACAACAAAGGGGGCAGAGATGTTGCTGGATAAAAACCTGTCCTTCCCAAATGCCTAAAGTTACTTTCTACATGAACAGGATAGATGTGATTAATTGGCGTGTTTCTTAACCCTTAATGCAGCACATTTGAGCTCATTCATTTGTGTGCAATCACTCTGTTGGGTTGGGACTCCCACTTCCTGCTTTAGGGATGTAATTCATAATAAGGGTCATAAAGTCAGTCTTCTTTGATTCACCTTTTGAGTTGCTGCAAAACCCAACCAGTGGGGCTAATTTTCAATCTAACATTTACATTGGTCTCACCTTCAAAAATGTGGTGGCAGCTGGTAGAAACAGACAGAATGATATGTGAAAGCTCTTTAAAGTAAGAAAAATCCTCCAATAGATTGTAAATACTACGAACATCAATCTAAAATAAATCCAAAGGACCAGATAAGATAGGGCAGGAATGGAATAAAGGATGACATAACTATGAGTAAAGGCTTCAATTTTTAAAAAATAAAATCTAAGATTGTTTTAGTATTCATCTTAATATGTTACGGTTAACATTACAGCAATATCTATGTATATAGTACTCCAGTATTAATACTTTTTCAGCATCACAGTGCATATGTTTCGCCTACAAAATATACAGTCAATTCACTTTACAGTATATTCTGTGAAGCGCTTTGACACGTCTTGAAGACGTGACAAGGCGCTATATCAAATGCAAGGATTATTTTTATGAGCTAAAAAAGACACCAGAGGTTCACGGAGACAGGAATTTCTATGGAGCTGCCAGCAGTCCAAAGGTTAATCATTTGGTTAGTTGCTTGTACACCCTATAAAATTCCATTCATCACTTTCATAACAGACAGAACAATATTAAATATGGGCTAAGGATGTGCCTTTATTTCTCTATGGTAGGTGTATCCACAAGTCCGTCCCCCATTGATAGTCACCAAGTACACAAAAGAGTAAAATCAGGCATCGGGTTGGAAGCACTGTCAATCTGCTTCCTGGTAGATCAATTGCCTTAATCTCTTTGCAGTCATGGTAGTCCCTTTATCCCAGTGCTAACACAGTGGGAACATGGAACCTGCCTGGCAGTGGTTTCTTACCAGTAACAAACTCAAGTAGTTTACTGCCAGCAGTAACATCACTTCTAGTTACCTCAGAGAGAAAATTACGTTTCTAAATATCATTTGCCTGTATTTTTCTAAAGGGCTGTTATGTTCATTTCATAGCACCAAAATGACTTAGCAGAAGACTGATTGCTACATGCTGTACTGGAAGCACCATTAACAGTAGTGAAAAGGTTAAACATAGCCATTCAAGTTTGCCTTTACATTGCTAAAACTGTGAATACCATTGTCACTAGGAATGAAAATGCAGGTGGCAAAATTTCGCCTGAACCAAGTGGTTTGTTAGATACTCTAGACGCAGAGACAGGTTCTAGTGGAAACAAACAATGGATTCGGCTTCTAAACATGTCTTCCTTCTGAAAACATAATTCAAACCCATCAATTTAATTCCGCAAAGAAATGCTATGGAGGACCATGAAAAGTTTCTTATATAAAAAGGAGCTGCTGTCACAATGGGTGGTGAGGCCTCAGAATGTGAACTGGCTAAAATGTTCATGAGAAGGCAAATGGTTGGGAAATTTCAGGTTAACAGTAGTTAATATAACACAATCCAAACTGCACAGGTCTTTGCAAGGTGTGGTAACAATGCTGTGGAACCATAATATGTCCAAGCGCTGTTTACTTTCAGTTCAGAAACTGTCTGTCCCCCAAATCGGTGTTGGAAGCTACTGAGAATGCTCCTCTTAAATAGACTAAGCCACAGTAGAACCTGCAATTAACTGCTGTGAAGCAGCTTGTTTGCGTAGAAGTCCCTGCAGGTCTGGCAGCAGCGCTGGTACCATCGCATGTCCTGACACAGATTCTTCTCTCGTATCACCCTGCAATACACTGTCCACTGGTCTCCTGTGCACTTGTAAGTCAGGGCAGCTTGGTGATTCCAACATGTAAACAGAGAACATAGTTAGAATTGGGCTTGCTTTGAATTATTTACTTAATTATCAATGTACAACAAACCACTATTCAGTAATATTTTCCTATACTTGAGCTACATTTGAATGGATTTTGTTCCCAAATTCCATCCACTCTGCATGTTACCTTCAATACTATGAGTCTTACATTGACATTAATTTCTTATGTTACCAAAGGTTTTTGGAAAGCCCAAAAAGATAACATTCTCATCTATAATTAGGTAAACATAATCTGTCCTAAGTGGATGTTTACTGACTATTCCTGATTTTATTCTTCTCCAGATGCATATCTTTTTTTCCCCCACTGCCACTATTTGGTTTTAGTCTCCTTCAGTACACTGGAATGAAACCAATCTGGCCCGTGTGATTTGTCTGCTTTAAGTTCCAACATCTTCTGTGAAGCGCTTTGAGACGTCTAGAAGACGTGACAAGGCGCTATTATCAAACGCAAGAATTATTATTATGAATAGTTTCTCTATTGATATCTACATCTAATGTCTGCTCCTTTATGTTCTATCCCAATCTCTCCCAGCACCTCTACACTAAACTCAGATGCAAAGAATTCTGAATTTCTCTGGATTTGACTATTTAAAAATACTGCGTAAAAGACACAGAGAAACACACCATCTGATCTGGGGCTATTGTCACACCAAACATCCCAATAATATGTAATATATTAGCTGGGCCTACACTCACCAAGCCTGGGCGATGTGATGGTGTTCACGTTTATCTTTTCATTACACGGCTCCTGGTGGCATTGTTTGTATGCCGCTGGTTTGGTTATTGATGGGCACTCAGTGCCGTGGCGACCGGTGACTTTGTGCATACACTGAACCACTCTTGACCGAAGGCCTCTCCCACACGTGGATGAACACTAAAAGAGTGAAAAAGCAGAGGTGTAAACCTTAGTATTTATTCAATAACAATAATAGCTTGGGTTTATATAGCACCCATCACAGAGTGCAATAATGGAACGCCCTACAGTGATGAGCGGATTTCAAGCAGGAAGAGAGGACAGGGGGATGTGACCATTAGGTGGGGTTGAAGGGGTAGGTTTTAATACATGACTTGAAGCTGGATAGAGAGGGGCAAAGGGCAGAAGGAAGCGAGTTCCAGAGATTATGAGTGTCGGTTCGGAAAATTCAACCCACCAATGGTCAAACCAATGGTGCAGGATAGAGTGGGGGATGTAGAGCAAGGCTGAGTAGAGGAGTGGTTTAGGAGGAGTTTGAAGAAATAAGGAGGGCGTGAAGTAAGCAAGAAGCAAGACTCTGTGCCACAACGGAAATTCAGCCTAAGGAAAGAAACGGCCAAGTTAACATTGATTTTGTTAATGGAAAGAAAAACATGCATTTTTATCGTGTCTTATCACATTGAAGCATCTCAAAACGTTTCACAAGTAATTACTATCAAGTACAGCAACTGTTTTGTAGGCAAATGAGGCAGTCATTTGCAGCAGCAAGGCTCCATTAAGAGTAATGAGGTGAGTGATCAGTTCATCTGGAGGACTGTTGGCTAGGACACTGAAGTAAACTCCCTTCCCTTTTCAAGTACTGTAGTGTCACAGAAATCTTCAACAGTCACCTGAACCAAAATAAACCATTTTCACTTGAAACAGTTCAGAGAAATGTTATTTTGGTTCTCTATATTGCCAGTGGTGGTAATAGAAACAAGAGGCTGCCTTAAATCTGATCGTGTGAGGGAGCTGAGTTAACCTCTCTATACCGGGTCAATTCAGCACTTGTTCATTTTCTAAAATTCGTAAATGTGTAATTAGCTGTTAATTCAGCTCTGCCAAACTCACTATGAGGATGTCAGCAGCACAGGTTTTAAAAAACACAATAGGCTGGTGAAATTAATCTAGTAATCTAGTTATTTATCTCTACAGTATCGACAGTATCGGTGTTTTAATTAGGTCTCATCGGTGCCATTCCTTCTTTAAAGCGAGGCTTTTTTAAAAAAAACAATAAAAGATTAGTTTTAAAAATCTGGTCCAGTGATAGGCTCTATTATTTGTCAGTAAGACACGATGGTGCTGTTTTGTATGCAAATGAGGCAGCCACATGCGTCATATCAGCAGTGGCTGGCATCAGCACTGAGAGATGTAAACTAATACATGGAGCTGCAAACTGATACAATGTCCAGAATTATGGGGAAAAGACAAATAAATTGGGCTGAATGGACTGTTCTTTCAAAGAAGAGCAAACGGTACCTCGGTTTAACGTCTCATCCGAAGGACAATGCAAGACACCTCCATCACTGCATTGGGGTGTCAGCCGAGACTGTGAGCCCGGTTATGGGCCTTGAACCAAAAACCTTCCGACTCAAATGCAAGAGTGCTCACCAACTGAGCGTTGACTCTCATTTCCCAGCACAAAGATATTGTGATTTTTTTAAAAAAAACTGTTTTCTAACATAATTGAAACGCTAAAAACAGAACAGGTGATGGAGGTACTTGTCACATGGAGTTAATGGCTTTCCTTGAAGTCAGTTGAGACTCCCAACTGCACTGCAATGCACTGTACAGCTTAGGTTGGAAAAAGCAGTCGCTCAAAATAAGATAAACGGGAAGATAAATACAAGACAGATGGCAATCAGCTGATGTCGGAACATCTGGAGCTGAATAAAAGGCTGAGCAGTGCATTTCAGTTAGTTCTTTGTTTGCCCCACTTGATGTTTTTTTTATGCTGTCTTTCTATTGGAAAGCAACTTCAGAAGTGAAGTGTATCTGGAATACTCCAGGCTGCTGATTCTATGGAAATTGCTCTGTTTATACTGCAGGATGACTCACAGAACCGGCAGTAATAAACTACACAAAACACATGTTCAGGCAATGACTGTACAGGCAAGACGTCACTGGTCAGAAAGGAATGCCGACATTGTATAATTGGAAAAACTCTATTATACTCTGTTACCCTGCAGCGCTGTACTGACAGCAGTCTCAGTGCATTTACCTTGTATTAAAGCAGCCTCTTTTTTTTGCACTTGTCTCTCTTGCCCTCTACCTAGAGGAACTCTTGTCTCTCTTACCCTCTATTGACAGCAGACCTGCTTCTCTTACATTGCAGCACTGCATTGGAACAGTCCTGCCACTGGTGATTAAATTCGACTTTGCACCATGTGATCGAGCACACCTCAGTACAGACCTTGGGGTGGGTGGGTGGGGGGAACATTTAAAAGATTTTTTTTGACAAATGATCTTAAGATTCACTTTCATTCCTATGGCAGATTTTGCGAGTTTGGCTTCTCGCCAATTGCTTCACAGCTACAGTTTAATTGACAGATTGGACAACTCTCTCTGAAATGATAATCCGATGAAAGATATGTTCACATTGCACCATTTGGTATGCATCATTCCAGTCAAGGTTAATGACCTTGCCTTCAATGCGGATCCCTGACTATCCAGCGATTGGGACATCCTACTGACGTGAAAAGCACTAAACAAATATAATTTGTTGTTGTTGACTAACTTTTCTCTTCTATAATTCTGAGTGAATTTATGCTTTAAAAAAAATCACACTGAGAAACAGACAATTTCTCACCAGGATTTTCAAAAGCCAAGACAACGCAAACTGAAATCTCACGTTTGATTTCATTGTATTGACATTGATCCTGCCCCATAACTGAAAAGGATCAGAAAGCACTTTCTTATCACAAAGTTCCTTGTTATCTTCCTTCCATGGCAGGAATAGATCCTGCAATCAGGTGAAGGAGAAACTAGACTAAATAACATTGATTCATTAGGTGTATCCAGCAACACCGAATGGCAACTAGATGCTATTGCTACCTGCAGGTTGCCTAATGCAGAACTTTGTAGGATTAGTGGGAAGAAATTCTCCCAAGATCTAGATTTACTCCATCTTCTTAACATTTCAGAGCATCCAGAATTTGGAAAAAATGTTAAATTTAGTCTTACCTTTGAAACTGGTTTTGTGTAGTTCCTAAAAGAGAATACAGGTTCACTGGCTTTAAAATGACGTCTGCATTTAAGAATTTGCCAAATTCTGGACCCAGATGGAAATTCCACCAATAGGTGAGCAGGTTAGGTCCATTTTAGTCAAATGGAAATTCCCATCCATACATGAAACTCTCAGTAGTTTGGTTTGAATACTTGACCAAAGTGATGGGTTTCCGTTTGTGCTACACATCCAGCAGACCAATATTAAACCTCATCTACATGTCATACAGAAATCAGGAAGCAAATAAACAAGAAAGCCAGTTCACCTGAAAAGCAACTGATCTATTCTTCAGATCACCCCTCACCCCAATATTGTCTGCTCCATTGTTTTATTACTGGCACCAACTGCAGCAGGCTTTTGGAAATCTGTTATCTTGTAAAAGTAAAAACAAGTTATAAAATGTTCCTCTGGAGCTCAGAGAAGTGGAAACTCAGCTGTTTTTCTGTGTCTGTTACACTGTGTGTGGTCCGAGCGCCAACGATGCCACACCTGTGACCCATTCACTAGAGGGGAACTACTTACTAATGGACTCAGAATGATTGCCCGCACAGCGGGAAGCAGATTACCATTCAATGCAAGATTACCATTCGAGTCCAATAAAGTACTAAAATTACCATGTAACTTTCGTTAGAATTAATGAACTAACTTTTTACAGATACTGTGGGATATGGAATTTTATTGAACAGAGTGCCAAAACTAGGGATTCCCATGAGCAACAGCACTGAAGTAATTTGAACTATTCTTTAGCATTACTCTCTCTGTTTTTTTAAAAAACAAATGCACATGGTTGGGAGCAGGGTGTCCACCTTTTCCATCAGAGCTATTTGCATTCATTGGGGGTATTTAAACAACACATTAAAGGCAAGGCCCACCCATATTGAAATCCTGAGTCTTTCCATCACTCACAGCAAGACTGCTGCTGCACTTGAAATTATTCATCTTTTTAAAATTATATTTTGGATCGATTGTTGAATGTTGAAATCGTATTCTACCCCAGTTAAGGAATATTACAATGTTTTCTTTCTACCATCTTTGTTTGCACCAGCCTAGCAACATTTCTAAACAGGAGAATCCTTGTTTCCTATGATGTTGAAGCCTGTGTCTGTCAGCCTCATCAAGCGGGCCAATCATTAACTAATTGTTTTGCTCACTGTTTTTTTTGTGTGTGTGGTTATGTGCAACAGTTTGAAACTCTCATAAAAACGTTGGCTATTATTATACAGACCAAGACTTGNAAAAAACAGATGCAAGTGTCTTTTAATCTATTATTGCCATTGGGTAATGTTACTGGGTCAAACTTTTCCAATGGATGAAACTGGTCAATATGTTTGGGTCTAGTACGTGTTAGGATGCTACATGTATTGTACTATCACAGAATTGTTTCTCAGTAGCGTTGCTAACACCGACATAAGCAGCATGTTTCAATTACACAGACTGGGCACATTCCTACTAATTCAAGCAAAGAAAATTCATATTTCTCAAGTACAATTGAAATGTCACAGTCCTAACAGTGGTAGAGAAAACTTTCTTGTTCAAAGTCAGCCAACACACATGCATTGATATCAATCTCACAGAGTTATTTCCTGGCTCATTGACAGAGCAATTTTAGCAGGATCGATGCCACAAGAAAACAAAAACACCCGTGAGGTACTGATTCAACAAAACTGCAAATCAGCATGAGAACAAATTGTATAATGCAATTAGTAGCCAGTGAATTATTTAGGTTCAGAACTTTGAAGTTATATTAATGAGTTTATAGGGACTACAACCTTAAGATTTGCATCGATTCATAGTACTTCGAGGAGGATTATATAATTTCATGCTGCTTCAGAGAGGAGATGCGTAAGAGCATCAGAGTCTATTCCGACAGGAAATAAAAGATCAGAGGCAAGTACTGTGTGAAATCCTACAAAAA